GCCCAAAGAAAGCTTGAGAGGGGAAGAGAAGCAGCTTTACCTTTGAATTAAATTCCTAGTTTTGATTATTAACGTGAACCGGACACTGTGGCCATTGTAGTGAGCCTGTCCTGGTAACCAGATGGAATCCAAGGGCAAGCAAAGATTTAAAGACAGAAAGCTGTTGTATGATTGGATTCTACTTCTTGACTGTGGAAACCCTGCTTGTTCAATAAAGTTTTATTTGCAAAACACCAAGTAAAATCAATGCCTACCACACAGTGCTTGAAACAGCAGCCATTAAGACTGTTGTTAATTACCTTGGTATTTCCTTAGAGAGAGGCAGATAGGAGCTGAATATGAGGCCTTTTTTTTTTTTTTCTTTGAGATAGGGTCTCATTCTGTCACCCAGACTGGGGTGCAGCTCACGGCAGCCTCGACCTCCCAGCCTCAATTCCCCTGCCTCAGCTTCCTGAGTAACTGGGACCACAGGCACATACCACCATGACTGGCTTATTTTTATTATACGTAGACAGGGTCTCCCTGTGTTGCCTAGGCTGGTCTCAAACTCCTGGGCTCAAGTGATCCTCCCACCTTGGCCTTCCAGAGTGGTGGGATTACAGGCAAGAGCCACTGCACCCGGCCAAATGTGAGGCTTTTCTGGTAGTCAAGTTGTTTGAGATGGCCCAAGTAGAAGGCTTGGGAGGTAGCCTTCTGTGGAAGGCTCTTCTGTGGAAGAGGAACTCGGGAGGAATGTGGAGGGAACTGAATTCCAGATGTGGGAGCGAGCCTGACAATCTGTGATTCCAGTTTATTGCTCATGGTCTCAACGCTCCCCCTTTACAGAGGTGACTTCTGCCCTGGCCTCTGAGTTTCAATCCCACCGTTCTTTTTTTTCCTTAAATGAGACAAATCTTGCTCTGTCACCCATGTCAGAATGCAGTGGTGCAATCATGGCTCACTGCAGCCTCTACCTCTCCAGATCGCTTAAACTCAAGCGATCATTCCGTGTCAGCCTCTCAGGTAGTTGGGACTACAAGTGCACACCACCATGCCCAGAGAATTTTTGTACTTTTTGTAGAAACCGGGTTTTGCCATGTTATCCAGGTGGATCCTGAATTCCTGAGCTCAAATGATCGTGCGTGTTGGATACTCAAAGTGCTGGGATTACAGGCATGAGCCTGGCCCAGACCACTGACGGACAACTCAGCATCACTCCCAATTAAGCCCATCTAAAATGGAGCTCTTTGGTGTAACCCGACTTCCCTCTTTATGTACTTTCCACACCCCTTTCATTCATTCCTCAAACCCAGATGAGCACGACTCTCACCCATTCTTCCCATGACACTTCTCCCACACTGGCCCCACCCACTCCATTTCTATGGCCACCACCATAATTCAGACCTTTGTCATCCATAAAATAGATTCCTAAACAATCTCCCTGCCCTCTTTTTTTTTCTCTGGGAATCCTTAGCATGTGAGGTCAGTCAAATCTTCCTCAAACCCAGTTCTGGCCGTGTCACAAAAGCCTCTGATTGGCCAGGCACAGTGGCTCATGCCTGTAATTCCAGCACTTTGGGAGGCGGACTCGGGCAGATCACTTGAGGTCAGAAATTCGAGACCAGCCTGGCCAAGATGACAAATCCCTGTCTCTGCTAAAAATACAAAAGTTAGCCAGGTGTGGTGGTACATGCCTGTAACCCCCGCTACTCAGGAGGCTGAGGCAGGAGAATCGCATGAACCCAGAGGCGGAGGTTGCAGTGAGCCAAAATCACGCCACTGCACTCCAGCCTGGGCAACAGAGTGAGGGTCCATCTCAAAACAAAAACAAAAACAAAAACACTTGCTTCCCAAGAAATGAAATACAAACTCATAGGACCAGCACAATCTAGTTTTTCCCAATCTGCTGTTTGCAGCTGTAACTAAAACCATTCAACTCTCCTCAAATTCACTGAGGTCCACTCTCAGCCCAGTCACATGCTGGACAAAAAAAAGGCAGAGATGAAAGAGTACCAGGCTCCGAGGTGCTCTTAGTTCTAATTTACAGAGGAGTAAATAATTACCAGAGTATGCAGTCAGTGATAAGGGACACTGCTTGTCCTAATGTCCCCATTCCAAAATAAATGATCTATTTACTGTCCCCTGAATACTGGCCTATGCTTATTTTTTCCCCCTCCAGGTTATTTGGCCCTTTTTCTCCTCCTCTCCTGTCTAAACATTTCCTATTGTTAAATATCCAGGTCCTAGTGCCCCTCCTTTGACAATTCCGATTCCCAGGCAAAGGATCTCTCCCTCCTCTGGAATTAAAAGTTCCATTGAAAAACACCTACTCTATTCTTCCAGCATGTCTCAGCTTATCTGCTTTGTGTGTGTGCGCTTCTGAGACAGAATTTCGCTCGTCACCCAGGCTGCAGTGCAATGGCACACTCTCGGCTCACAGCAACCTCCATCTCCCGGTTCAAGCAATTCTCCTGCCTCAGTCTCCCAAGTAGCTGGGACTACAGGCACATGCCACCATACCCAGCTACTTTTTGCATTTTTAGTACAGATGGGGTTTCGCCATGTTGGCCAGACTGGTCTCAAACTCCTGACCTCAGGTGATTCACCCGCCTCGGCCTCCCAAAGTGCTGGGATTACAGGCGTGAGTCATCGCACCTGGCGCTTTTTTTTTTTTTTGAGTCTTTCTCTGTCGCCCAACCTGGAGTGCAGTGAGGTGATGAGGTGATCTCGGCTCAATGCAACCTCCACCTCTGGGGTTCAAGCGATTCTCCTGCCTCAGCCTCCAGAGTAGTTGGGGCTACAGGTGTGCACCACCATGCTGGGCTAATTTTTACATGTTTAGTAGAGACGGGGTTTCACCATTTTTGGCCAGGTTAGTCTCGAACTCCTGGCCTCAAGTAATCCATTTCAGCCTCCCAAAGTGCTGGGATTACAGGCATGAGCCACCTTGCCTGGCGGTGTTTGTTTTTTAATTTTAAAAATATACACAAGGGCGGGCACGGTGGCTCACGCCTGTAATCCCAGCTCTTTGGGAGGCTGAAACGGGTGGATCACAAGGTCAGGAGTTCGAGACCAGTCTGATCAACATGGTGAAACCCTGTCTGTATTAAAAACAAAAAAATTAGCCAGGTGTGATGGCACGCTAATCTCAGCTACTCAGGAGAATAAGGCAGGAGAACTGCTTGAATCTGGGAGGCAGAGGCTGCAGTGAGCAGAGATTGTGCACTGCACTCCAGCCTGGATGACAAAGACTCTGTCTCAAAAAAATAAAAATTAACATTAAAAAAATCTATTATATATACATATATAGAGAGAGAGATGGGAGGTCTCACTATGTTGCCCAGGTTAGTCTCACACTTCTGGCCTCAAGCAATCCTCCCGCCTTGGCCTCCCAAAGTGCTAGGATTACAGGCATGACCCACTATATGGGGCCACATCTCAGCTTTGGAAGGTCCTCTCTCACACAGCGCCTACCCCCATCCCAATCCTGGGTTAAACGTACCTCCTCTGCGTCCCTACAGCACTTCACACTTCTATTGTTGTTCATTTGTGCTGCTTGCAATTTACTTGTCTCTCCCACTAGACTGAGCTCCCTAAAGGCAAAGAATGTGTAGATCCTGTTCACAGCAGAACACTCAGCTCCCAAATTGGGCTGGCGTATCTTTTTTGAAAATTTTTTTTCTTTTAAAAATGAAATATAGAGATTGGGTCTTGCTATGTTGGGATTACAGGCGTGAGCCACTGCCCCCAGCCAGGCTGGCATATCTTAGCAGTTCAATAAAGAAGTGGAAGAGAGGAAGGAGAGTACAGCAGTCGCCATAAACTCTCTTGTATTGATACTTTTTTTTTCCCCAAGATAGAGTTTTGCTCTTGTTGCCCAGGCTGGAGTGCATTGGCGCAATCTTGGCCTCTGCCTCCCAGGTTCAAGAGATTCTCTTGCCTCAGTCTCCCAAGTAACTGAAATTACAGGCGTACGCCACGACGCCCGGCGAATTTTTTGTATTTTTTGTATGAATTTTTTGTACGAACCCAAGGGTCTCTGCAACTTGGGGGACGACGGCCCGGATCTGAGGAGATGACCTCTTCCTCCCACCCCGCCCAAGGACTCTCAGCCTCCCCAGCCCGTGCCTTTCCGGAGCTCAGAGCCCCCGCTGGTCTCCAGGGGCGGAAGGGATGGGTTTGGGTGAGGACAGGGTCTCGGGTCTGGGACTCACTCCACCTCCCGGGCTGCGCGACTCTGGCCAGGTTCCCTGTCCGAGCCTCTCTGCCTGGGACCCCACCTGGAAAAATGGCTCCTCTAAGGCGCTTCCAGCCTAAAGCCCGTCCTCTTCTACCTCTTGGGTGCGGACTGCCCCTCCCACTCCGACCACACGTCCCCCACCGGCCACGCTATGACCCAGCCAAACACCAGGGTTGCCAGGGGCGTCCCGGAACCTTCCTTTCCGACTCCCGGAAGTGGCCGTGATCTCACGAAATCCCGGAGGTGAGCGCGACCGGAAGTCCGGTCACTCTCGCGAGGCCCCACGGAGCAGAGCCGGGACCGCTGCGGAGTGTGGAGGTCGTTGGAGTCACTTGCCTGTCAGCAGCAGCTCCTGTGTCTGCCCGTCGGCGCCCCTCCCGCTCCAGCCATGCTTTCCGCCCTCGCCCGGCCTGCCAGCGCTGCTCTCCGCCGCAGCTTCAGCACCTCGGCCCAGGTAGGCCCGACGAGGGGCGGCTTGCAGCCCCCCTCCCCGGCCCAGGCCACGTGCGTCCCCGGTTCGCGAGCAGCTCTGACCCTCTCCAGGCCAGCCTGGACCGCAGGGCTGCCCGGCACTGGCTGGAGATTGTGGCGCCCGGGGCAGGCCCTGACACTGGCCTGGAGATGCGGGGGAGAAAGCCGGGGAGAAGGGGGCGAGGTAGTCCCGCTCCAGGGCCGGTCCATTTATTTGGCAGGGCTCCCCCCAGGTCTCCCAGATTCCCCAGAGGGCCTGCACGCCTTCAAGGTTAGGAAACCGGGGCTCTGGATCTGAAAGTAAACTTACGTTTTTTTCTGCAGTTTTTCATTGGTTTAATATAGCTAATCTCCTTCTTGCAGCATCCGTGTGAGTTGTGCGTGAATAAAAGAAATCGTATAATTTCTGACTCCATAGTATGGACAAACCGAGGCTAGAGAACTGGGCCAGGGTTACACAGTCATCTGGCCAGAGGATTAGAATTCAGCGCTTCTGACCTGAAGACGCTTCCTCTTAACCTTTCTGGAGGATCTCTCCTGCTGTGGGCGGACTGAGCCTGCCGCCAGGTGTCTTAACACAGTGCTTGACTTGGCCAGCGACCACTTAAGCCTAGGCTATTTTTAGCCATCTTCTAGAACGGTGGTTCTTAAACTCTGCTGTGTGTCAGAATCACCGGAAAGCTAATAAAAAACAGAGGCCTGGTCTCATTGAAGAAGCATAAGACCGGGGTTTCCGCATTTTTACCAAGTGAATCTAATTAAACCTAAGTTTGAGAACCCAGGAGGTGCCCGCATTGCCTTTTAATTACGACACCCAGGAGGGAGGTAATTTTAAAGGGGAATCCAAATTTATCATTGAACTTCTCTCCTCCGGTTTCCTGTACATCCAGTTCATTTGAAAAATAAATACAAATGCTCCTGGATTGATGGCTGTTTCCGGTACCCATCGCAAGTTGATAATAGATCCTAAGTCAAAAGGCGAGTTTAACTTTGTATATTTTCAACTCGCATTGGCTTCCCACATGCAACCCCATCGTAAGTTGAATGTACCAAATGCTTTTGAGCTGTGGTAAAGTAGGGGCCCAGCTGTATACAGATAAGTCCATTAAGTTCCTGTGCTTGCCAACGACTATGCTGGGTGCTGCAGGGGATACCAAATTAAGTGAGAAGTGGTACTTGGGACAGAAACGAGTAGGACAGGTGGAGGTGATGAAGGTCTTAGGGAATGAGTAGACTTAGGCCAGGTGGAGGCGATGAAGGTCTTAGGGAATGAGTAGACTTAGGCCAGGTGGAGGCGATGAAGGTCTTAGGGAATGAGTAGACTTAGGCCAGGTGGAGGCGATGAAGGTCTTAGGGAATGAGTAGACTTAGGACAGGTGGAGGCGATGAAGGTCTTAGGGAATGAGTAGACTTAGGACACATGAAGGCGATGAAGGTCTTAGGGAATGAGTAGACTTAGGACACGTGGAGGCGATGAAGGTCTTAGGGAATGAGTAGACTTAGGCCAGGTGGAGGCGATGAAGGTCTTAGGGAATGAGTAAATTTAGGATAGGTGGAGGCGATGAAGGTCTTAGGGAATGAGTAGACTTAGGACAGGTGGAGGCGATGAAGGTCTTAGGGAATGAGTAGACTTAGGACACATGAAGGCGATGAAGGTCTTAGGGAATGAGTAGACTTAGGCCAGGTGGAGGCGATGAAGGTCTTAGGGAATGAGTAAATTTAGGATAGGTGGAGGCGATGAAGGTCTTAGGGAATGAGTGAGCTTAGAACAGGAGGCGATGAGGTGTGGGGGAGGGGCAGCCGACCAAAGCTAGGACAGGGAAGAGTGATGTCCTGGGAGAGGTTGAGTTTTGGTAGGACCTTCAGATATGCGACATATTTATTAAGCTAGGTACTGGAAATACATCGGTGAACAAAACAGAAGTCCCTGCTCTCATGGAAATTACTAGATATTTTACTTATTGCCCCACTATAAGGTATCTTAAAATAGTGATGAACATACAGGAAAAATGGGGATTGTAGGGTGCTTGTGTTAGGGAAGAGGGTACCAATTTTATTTATTTATTTATTTATTTTTTGAGGCAAAGTCTCTCTGTCGCCAGACTGGAATGCAGTGGCATGATCTCAGCTCACTGTAACCTCTGCCTCCCAGGTTCAAGCGATTCTGCTACCTCAGCCTCCCAAGTAGTTGGAACTACAGGCGTGCGCCACCACACCCCGCTAATTTTTGTATTTTTAGTAGAGACGGGGTTTCACCATGTTGGCCAGGATGGTCCCGACAGAGTCTCACTCTGTCTTCTAGGCTGGAGTGCAGTGGGCGCCATCTCAGCTCACTGCAACTAACTCCTGGGCTCAAGTGATCCTCCTGCCTCTGGCCGGGCTGGTCTCCTTGGCCTCCCAGAGTGCTAGAATTACAGGCATGGGCCACTACTCCCAACCAAGGGTAGCAATTTTACATCAGCCAGGGTAGGCTCACCCAGAATGAGATGTTTGAGTAAAAGTCTGAAGGAAGCAGAGATCACACCATATGGAAAGAGTATTCCAGGTACGGGATACGTCTCAGGACGTAGCTGAGAGCCCTTGGAGAAGCATGGGGCATGCCTCTAAGGTTTGAGAACACGAGGCTAGGGTAGTTCAGAGAAAGCAGTGGAGGTAACAGAGCAGGCCTTGTAAAATTTTCGGTTTTTTCTCAGAAATAGGGTGGCCATTTGAGGGTTTTCAGCTGCGTAATGACTTGCTCTTCCAATTAACAAGATGGTCTTAGAAGCGAGAAAAAGGTGAATTAGGAGTTCATTGTGGTCATCTAGGTGCAGGTGGTAAGAAATGGTTACATTCTGGGTGTTTGTTGATGGTACCAGAAGGGTTTGCTGATCTGTGATTGGATAAGGGTCATGGATGACACCAAGGTATGGGGCCTTGGAGTTGGGCTGAAATAGATAGGCAAGACTTATGGAAGAGAGTGGGTTTAGGCAGGGAGAAGATATCAGGAGCTCAGTTTTATTTATTCATTTATTTATTGAGACAGAGTCTCGCTCTGTCACCCAGACTGGAGTACAGTGACGTGATCTCAGCTCACTGTAGCCTCTGCTTCCTGGGCTCAAGTGATTCTCTCACCTCAGCCTCCCCAGTAGCTCGGATTACAGGTGCTGCCACCATGCCCAGCTAATTTTTTTTGTATTTTTAGTAGAGATGGGGTTTCACCGTGTTGGCCAGGTTGGTCTCCAACTCCTAACCTCAAGTGATCCACTTACCTCGGCCTCTCAAAGTGCTGGGATTACAGGTGTGAGCCACCGCACCCAGCTGGGAGCTGAGTTTTAGATATGTTCATTTTAAAATGCCTGTTGGTCATACAAGCACGTTGTTGAGAGGGTAGCTGATGAATGCAGAAAGAGAGATGGACTCGAGCCCATGGTGCAGTGGTCTCCAGACTTCGGATCTTGTTTTTTGTTTTTGTTTTTGAGACGGAGTTCTGCTCTTGTTGCCCAGGCTGGAGTGCAGTGGTGCGATCTCGGCTCACCTCCGCTTCCTGGGTTCAAGCCATTCTCCTGCCTCAGCCTCCCGAGTAGCTGGGATTACAGGCAGGCACCACCACGCCTGGCTAATTTCGTATATTTAGTAGAGACAAGGTTTCTCCATGTTGGTCGCACTGGTCTCAAACTCCCAACCTCAGGTGATCCACCCGCCTCAGCCTCCCAAAGTGCTGGGATTACAGGTGTGAGCCACTGCGCCCAGCTAGATCCTGTATCTTTAATAGTAAAAATGTAGAAAGCACATAGCTCCAATATATTTACTGATACATATATGTACTAATATATACATTACAATATAAACTGAAGTCAAAATTTTAAAACAAACATAACACATTATAAGGTGTTAAAATTTACAGATAAAGACGGTGTTACTGTATGTCCGTTTTCAACACAGTTGCCAAGCAGTGTGCTGTTGGTAGCCACTCTGTCCCCCAGCAAAGGTCAGCAGGTCTGGAAGACAGCTCTTTGACAAGGAGATCATGATCTAACCTCCGGACCACCAAAGATTTTCATCTCATTGCAAAGCATGGTAAAGATTACACTACTTAAGGATTGTGGTTTTGTAAATATTAACTTAAGCTGATGACGTCCTGTAATATACAAACAGTGACATCACCCTGACACAGTGAAAGCAATCAGTGAAACAGTCCTCTTCGCCTCCCTCCCCCATGTTGTGTTCACCTTATGTACACGTGGGACTGATCCATTTAAGTGCCCTAGTGAGGGTGCAGGTCAGTCCATTTCTTGGTAGAGATTAATTCTTTGTTAGATAAAGATAGAGACAGGCCGGGCTTGGTGGCTCACACCTGCAATCCCAGCACTTTTGGAGACTGTGGTGGGAGGATCACTTGAGCTCAGAAGTTTGAGACCAGCCTGGGCAATGTGGCAAAACTTCATTTCTATAAACAAAAAAAACGAAAATTAGCCGGGCATGGTGGTGCACACCTGTAGCCCCAGCTACAGCTAAGGTGGGGAGGATGGCTTGAACCGAAAAGGCAGAGGTTGCACTGAGCCAAGATCGCACCACTGCACTCCAGCCCGGGCGACAGAGGGAGACCCTATCTCAAAAAGAAAAGATAGGGCCAGGCGCAGTGGCTCATGCCTGTAATCCCAGCACTTTGGGAGGCCGAGGTGGGCGGATCACGAGGTCAGGAGATCAAGACCATCCTGGCTAACACGGTGAAACCCCGTCTCTGCTAAAAATACAAAAAATTAGCCGGGCACGGTGGCGGGCGCCTGTAGTCCCAGCTACTCGGACGGCTGAGGCAGGAGAATGGCGTGAACCCGGGAGGCAAAGCTTGCAGTGAGCCAAGATGACTCCACTGCACTCCAGCCTGGGCGACAGAGTGAGACTCCATCTCAAAAAAAAAAAAAAAAAATGCATCTTCATCCTCCGCCCTGGTGGGATTGTCCTGGGTACTCTCCTGTGAAACCACTGCCCTGGCTGAATGCTGGAGGCATGAAAGCTTTGGAAGTTTTTTTTTTTTTTTTTTTTTTTTGAGGCAGAATCTTGCTCTGTCGCCCAGGCTGGAGTGCAGTGGCGCGATCTCCACTGACTGCAACTTCCGCCTCCTGGGTTCAAGCAATTCTCCTGCCTCAGCCTCCTGAGTAGCTGGGATTACAGGCGCGCACCACCATGCCCGGCTAATTTTGTATTTTTAGTAGAGATGGGGTTTTGCTGTGTTGGCCAGGCTGGTCTCGAACTCCTGACCTCAGGTGATCCACTCACCTCAGCCTCCCAAAGTTCTGGGATTGCAGGTGTGAGCCACTGCGCCCTGCCCAGAAGATGTTTTTTAAAGAGATGGAATCCTTCTCTGTTGCCCAGGCTGGAGTGCAATGGCACCAGCATGGCTCATGGTAGCCTCAGCTCCTGGGCTCAAGTGATCCTCCCACCTCAGCCTTCTGAGTAGCTGGGACTACAGGTGCGCACCACCATGCCAGCTAGATATTTGAGCACGAGAGTGAAATGATTAAAACTTTGATTTTGGGGAAGGGTGCTTCGGAGGTGTCGCTGAGTACCTAAGTTAGATAATGGAATAGAATGAAGAGGAGGAGTGGGTCAGGAGGGAGGTTGAGCTGCCAAGTTCTTCATGTCCTGATTTGATGTCTCTGACAAGAAGGAGGCGGCAGAAGATGGTTTTAAAAGTTTACGTTCAGTGAACACAAGTGCCATTTGGGACCAGGGATGGAGGTTGGGGGCAGGATCAATGGACAAATGAGTTTGTGGAACCCATGGAGTGCCTAA